AAGCCACAAACTATAACCAATTCACTCTATTTAAGGAAATCTCTAAAGAATAATTCTAAGTGAAAAGACACACATAAGATAATATAGTGTATGGTTTCTTTTGTATGAAATTTTCAAAATACAAATATATAATGTCAGAAATCAAGTCACTGCTTGCCATAGACTAGGGTTAAGGGGGAATGGGTTGACTACAAAGAGGCTGCAGTGAAATATTTCAGATGATGAAGATAATATTTTCTATTATGATTATGATGTTATATACATGCTATAAACATTTGTCAAAACTCATCTAATCTTACACTCAAAATTGATGAAATTCATAATATATAAATTATACTTAAATAAAATTGATTTTAAAAAGTATACTAAGTAAACAAAGGCAACATAATGGAGAAAAGAGTATTTTTAACAAAAGACATTGATGTGCAATAAAAATGAATATAGACGTATAATGTGCACCTTTCACAAAAAATAACTTAAAATTGATCATAGACTTACATGTAAAATGCAAAACTATAAAACTCTTAGAAGATAACATAGGAGAGAATCTAGATAATCTTGGATATGATGATGATTTTTCCAATATAATACCAAATATGAAAGAAATAATAAAAATAAAATAAATTATTTTATTAAAAATTAAGAACTTCTACTCTGTGAAAAACACTATCAAGAGAAAGAGAAGATAAGCCACGGCTGGGAGAAAATAAAAAGACATACTGGAAAAAGAATTTTATCCAAACTATACAAAGGATTCTTAAAATTCAACAATTAGAAATGAATAATCGGATTTTTTAAATGGACCAAAGATCTTAACTGACACCTCACCAAAAATGATTACATATGGCAGATAAGTATATGAAGAGGTGTTCAACATCCTATCTCATTAGAGAATTGCTAATTAAAATAACAATGAGATACCACAGCACATCTATTAGAATGGCCAAAATGCAAACCAATGACACCAAATGCTAGGGAGAATATGGAACAAGAACTCTAGTTTTTTGATGGGAATGCGACATGGTACAGCCATTTTTGAGAGATAGTTTGGCAGTTTCTTACAAACTAACCATAACCTTATCATTATTCTTAATTCAAAAAACAATGAGAAATAACAGATATTCTAAATATATCAATAAATTAGAGCTAATTTCATAAGTTTCAAGATACTGTGTTAGTTATCTATTGCTGCCTAACAAATTTAGTGCCCCAAATTTACTGCCTCAAATTTGAGTGGCTTAAAGCGGCAAACATTTATTATCCCAGAGTTTGTGTTGGTCAGAAATTACGGAGCAGCTTCACTGGGTAGGTCAGGCTCAGGATCTCTCAAGAGGTTACAGTCGGGGCTTTAGCCAGGACAATAGTCATTTGAAGGCTCACCTGGGGCTGGAAGATGTATTTCTAAGATCACTTATATGACTGTTAGCAAAAGTCCTCAGTTCTTCACACTGTGGATATCTTCACGGGCTGCTGGAGTAGCCTTACAACCTGACAGTTTGCTTCCCCTGAGTGAGCAATCAAAAGAGAGAGAGAGATCAAAAAGAAAGCCACAATGTGTTTTATGAACTAGTCGTTAAAGCATACATTTTTGCTACCAATTCATTCTATTTGTTAAAACAGAGTCACTGAGTCCAGCCCATACAAAGAGAGTGGGGAGGGGGTCAGGTTCTACCTCTTAAAAAGAGGAGTATCAAAAAATTTGTGGTCAGATTAAAAAAAACCAAAAAGATACTAAAATTTAAAAAAAAGAGTAATTTTCAGAGATAAAAGGATGAATTTATCTAAAGTAAAACATAATTATATAAATACAAAATCCTGTGGGTTAGTTTTCTCATTTTTTTTCCTTTTTAAGCATATTGCTCTTTAAGTCTAAAGAGAAAAATAATCCAATGAAGAGTATAAAAGCAACTGCTTAAATTTATTATTTAAAATATGCATAATAGACTGGATAAGTGAAGATGAAATATATTTTACTGGTACTTAGTACTGCTTAATATAAATTGACCCTAACATAGAGGAGCACCAGGGTGCTGCTAGAACCTGGCTCTGGAGAGAAGCATAGAACATAATGAAAATAGACTTCCTGACCATCAAGCTCTTATTATCTCCCTGTTTTCTCCATTTTACAAGGGCTAGAGGAATAACAGACAATGGAGAAATTCACTTCATATATATATAATCTTCTTGATGAGTAGTTAGTTCATTTTTGGGGAAGGGATAGAAAATATGGACGTAGAAAATTCTCAGAACAGTTGATTGTACATTCTTGACTATTTTTGACCAGTATTAAATTCATAAGACAAGCAAAGTTTGTGGCTTGAGCCCCTATTTCTAGATTTTATTTCCTACTCTAGTGGTTGATAATCAGCTAGAGATTATAAATGGTTATGATATAGAGAAAAATAAATATTTGTAAAAGGGAGCAAAACTACTATAAAAATGATTGGTAATATAAAATAAAATTATAAAATTATAAAGAAGAACCACAGGGAAATAGTTTTTATAAAAATAAAATACTTGTGCTCGAAATAAAGACCACAGTAGAAGGATCTTATAACAGAATAATAGAGCCTAAAGTGGTATCTTATTGAACGGGAAGATTAAGTTTAAAAACTCTTTGAGAAATCATCATAAAATAATAAAAAATATGGAAAGAATAAGAATTTATAGTGTTGATAGGACCAGACATGTAACTGCCTGAAATAAGAGTCCTAGAAAGAGTTCAAATATATATATGGAGCAGAAGAAATATTTGAAGCAGCAAAGATAGGACAGACCCAAATATTAAAAAGATAAAATATAGGATATTGGAAAGTCTCATAAAATAAAGTCAGGAACTTTTAAAAAGCCACAATGAGACATATAATAATGAAACTAAAATTTTACAAAACAATGAAAACAGTGCTGATCAAGACTTTCAAACAACACTAAGGGTAAGAAGACATTGCCCTTAGAGCAATATTTTCAAAGAATGAAAGATAAAGAAATATATGATACTTATATTTTTATTGCAAACTAAACTGAGATATAAAACAAAGATGTAATTAAAAGTATCTAAAGAATTTTATTAATATTATACACAAAGTACTCATTGCAGGGGACCCTATTGAACAGATAAAAATTAATCAAGAGATGTGCTAAAGGAAATGTGAAATAAGGGTGAGTCAACAATTAGACAAAGATTATTGTGAACTGAAAACAGCAAGAATAAAATTGGAAAAAAATGAAAACTATATCCATGTTATTGTAGAATAAAACCACAATAGATATTAACATTGTGAGACAGAGAGGTAAGAGGGACTAAAGAGAATATTAAAGTACTATCTACCTTGATTCAAGAGAAAAATATAGAAATCAATGACTGAAAAATTGCAAGAGAATCCAAACTTAAGTAAAGTTTTAGTAACTCGTGAATAACCACAGTATTAAAAACAGACATTTTTCAGATCACCAAAAGAAAGCTGTATATTTTCTTACAATGAGAAAGTAATAAATATGCTACATATAAAATGAGACCTAAATCTTAATAGTAATTACTATAAATGCAAATAAATTAAATTTAAATATAATACAATCAATTAAAGGGTGACAGCCTCACTGCAGTTGTAGGCTAGAACACCTGCACACCACCTGGCCATGTTACCTGGGCTTCTTCACAGAGTAGCAGCCTCCAGCATATTACATGGTTGCTCAAGGCTGTAAATGCAAGTGTTCCAAGATAATCACAGTGGACCCATATTGCCTTTGTGACCTACCCTTGGATGTACCATAGTCTTACTATTGTCATACTAGCAAGCTTGCCTAAATTTGAAGGAAGGGAATATAGACCCCAACTTTCAATTGGAGGGGTGTCAAATCACTTCATAAGGAGAACTTATAGTGTTGGAGACATTATTGTGGTCATCTTTGGAGAATATAATCTGCTAGTCTGCCTTCTAACTAGAACAATTCACTTTCCCCCCTATACAAAATATAATAGCACCTGACTCCTAAACTCCTAAACCTTATTCTATTATGACGTCAGTTCATCAAAGTCCAAGATCTCATCAGGTAAATCAGGTTCAACTATAAGTGAGGCTCCTCAGGTTTCACACCTTATTTAGAGCTCCTTGAATATAATTTTTCTCACTGACATCTTATGAACTAAAGAAACAAGTTATTAGCTCCTCAACTCCCACCCATAGGCAGCTTCCAATGACAGAACAGGCACAAAATAGCTAATGTAGATACTCCCATTCTACAAAAAGATTTGCTCAACAGTAATTAGTCCACAGAATTTTCAGAAGCCAGCCATGTACATGTTGCTAGTTTATTGTTTAGTACAAAATCCTTCTGCCTGAGAACTCAAGGTGAGTCTAGGCTCCATGCTCCGAGTTCTTGGTTTTGCTCTCTGATGTATCCTTCTTTTTTCGATTAAAATGGCTTGTGTTTGCAACTGAATATTTTTCTCTACCTGCTTTCTTTCTGTATCTCCTGAAAGAGTGTGAAAGGCTCCATTTATTTTATATTACTCTCCAACTTTCAGTTCAGTATCACATAATTTCTTTTAAAAATTTGCAGGCTTCCTAGGTATCAGTTTATAATCTAATCTAGTAAAAAAAAAAAAAAAGCAACATCCACAAAAACCTTTCACTGAGTGCTCCCTTTGAGTCTACTATGGCATAAAGCCTTTTAAAATTCTTACTCTAATTTTTTAACATAGATGGCCATGGAATAAGCCATTACAGTCCATTCAGGCCTTTTGTGTGGTATTAGAGTCTGAGGCCTTTTTGAGGTCTTAACAAATGGTTTTAAGTTTGTGTCCTTAGTTATAGCTCTATCATGAGACATTTTCTTTACAGAGAACTGGAGTTGATCTATGACCTATGGCTATTTCTTACTTTATGAATCTTCTTGTAGGGGAGGTAAGAAATGAGGGACAGTCTTATTTACAAACTCAGCAAATCTAGGTTCATTTATATTTACACTAATTTTTTCCTCTCTAATTTTATATTTTGCAGCTAAAAGATGACAGACTGCACACTCAAGACTTTATGTGGAAATCTCCCTAGGTAAATCATCAAGTTCATTAACATAGCCCCCATTTTCTACATTACTATAGTTGTCAGTTTAATATTTTCTGTCTCTGCATATAAAGTGCCCTTTCCTCTAGCTTCCAATACATTTTCTTCAGTTTCCTTTAAGCCCTCCTACAATCTCTTCAGATCCTTTAAGCTTTCGTTAACACTCTCTTTGAAGTCCTTCACAAGTTCCCTGATGGTCTTCTCAATGCCCACACAGCACCTGCCACCAACAAATACCAACAGGATTGCAATGTATGTTAGGCTTTGTAAAGGGAGCATCCCATTCCTGGTACTATGATCTATTCTGGCTATTTACTTACATTTAAAAAATTACCCCAAAACTTAATGAATTAAAACATCTATTTTATCATGCTCACAGACTCTGTGAGACATCAATTCAGGATGGGCACAGTGTGGGTAGCTTCTCTCTGCTCCTTGTCATGTTATACTAAGCAGGAGGGAGTCACAGATTGGTAGTGAATGGCCAGCTGGGGTAAGACCCATCAGAGACTTCCTTATTCCCATGCCTGGTAGTTGATGGTTGATGACCATCTCTGGTGATCTCACTCAGCTGGGATGGTCAACCAGCTGATGATCTATGACCTACTGATGGCCTTTGTATGTGGTCTGAGCATCCTGACCGGGCAGTAGCCTTGGATTTTCTCACATAACACTGAAGGCTCCAAAGGCAAGTATTCCAAGTGCATCGGATGGAAACTTAGTTACCTTTTATGATCCAATTATATGATATAAAATAATCACTTATTATGTTGAGAAATCTGAATTTGGACTTGGTAAGGCTGTTTTATTTCTTTCCATATGGCTTCATCTAAGGCAGCTTGACAGGAGACCAGGTTATCTACTTTCAAGATGATTCACTCACATAGATGGTAAATTGGTACTGACTACAGCCTGGGAATTCAGCTAGGGCCAGGGGAAGAGAGAGAGAGAGAGAGAGAGAGAGAGAGAGAGAGAGAGAGAGAGAGACAGAGAGACAGAGAGAGAGAGAGAGAGAGAGAGAGAGAAAGAGAATGTGTTGGGAAGTGGGATGGGGGAAGGGAGTGAGGTCTCATTTTCTCTCCATATGAACCTTTTCATAATCTACTTGGGCTTCCGTAAGACATGGCGATTCAGTTCCAACAAAAGCTATCTCAGTAGAATCAAATAAACTAGTTTGTCTTCGATGACCCAGCTTTAAAAGTCACATAGCATCACTTTTGCAATATCCATAAAGCAACCCTGATTCATGAGTAAGAAATAGACTCCACTGCACTATGAGAAGAGTGTCTAATGAGAAGAGTGCATTGAAAGAAGAGAACGTATAATGGGAGATACTGTTTTAGTTATTTTTTAAAAATGTAATCCACCAAACTACTCTAGTATTCTACCCTTGTATTAGAAAAAAAAAAGAATATATACATTATATATGATGGAAGCAAACATATAATATACATATGTATATACATATATATAAGCAATCATTGATTAAGAAATTGATATTTTTACCTTCATAATTATCTGAATTTTTGGTATTTTTATAATTAGAAGGGAGTTTGAAATTCTGTTTTATGGCCAATTTAAAATTACTGTATCAAACAAATGAACTTAGTGAAAGATTTGGAGTTTGTTTTTGTTATTGTTGTTTCTTCAGGCTATGATGGGAATTAAAATTTTGATTTTATTTTTTGAAATAATCAGTAGATTTCAGACTCTTACAAAATGTCTTGTTTTAATAAGTGAAAATTATCTTAATTATTATACCCAAGTGGAAATAAATATGCCAATTAACTGATCTCTGATTATAAAAGCCTGTTAGTAATTTATAATATTGAGACATATTTAATTTCATTTCATGAGTTCACTTTACAAGAAAATCAACCATAAATAATAAAACTTATTAATTCAATTAAAATGATAACAAAATAAAGGATTCCTAGAATGGGAACAAAAGATTACACTGCTATGTTATTTTTCCACACAAAATTACATTTTATGCCAGCAATTTGTAGAAGAAAGTCATTATCAGATTATGCTCTGTTCTATTCATAAATAATATAGAATCTTTTCAAAAATACATGTAATTCTCCTGATTTGGTCACATAAATATAAATGGTGCTTTTGTACATTTGGCATTAGAAAACATAAGTATGAAATTTAATGTTACATTTCAAAGTGACATTAAACACTAATTGAACTCTGGATATACTCAAACTCATCATGTAATTATGAACAGACACTTATTTTTATAAAGTTAAACTGCTCAGTATGTCTACATTATGTAAGACTCCTACTAGGCAGATAAATTGATCTATAGAAAAATATTGAAATCCTGATATGGGACAAGGCTTTTCATTTTTACTGTGTTAAAATAAGATGATTAACAGAGAAATTATAATTCAATGGTGCTGGGAAAACCACATGTAGGAGACTGAAACAGGATCTGTACCTCTCACCTCTCACAAAAATCAACTCACAATGAATAACAGACTTAAGCATAAGGCATGAAACCATAAGAATTCTTGAAGAAAATGTAGGGAAAACTCTTATAGACATTGGCCTAGACAAAGAATTTATGAAGAAGACCCCAAAAGCAATCACCGCAACAACAAAAATAAATAAATGGGACCTGACTAAATTAAAAAGCTTCTGCACAGTGGAGGAAACTATCATCAGAGTGAATAGACAACCTACAGAATGGGAGAAAATAATTGTATGCTATATATACATTCTATAAATGGCTGATAACTAGAATCTATATAGAACTCAGGAAAATCTGCAAGGAAAAATTTTAAAAAACAACATTAAAAATTGGGCAAAGGGCACAAACAGAAACTTTTCCAAAGACAAACTAATGGCCAATAAACATATGAAAAAAATGCTCAACACCTCTAATCATCAGGGAAATGAAAATCAAAACCCCAATGAGATATCACTTAACTCCAATGAAAATGGCTTTTATAAAAAAAGTCACAAAACAACAAATGTTGGCATAGATGTGGAGAGATAGGAACACTCATACACTGCTGGTGGGACTGAAAACTAGTACAACCTCTACGGAAAGTAGAATGGAGATACCACAAAGAACTAAAAGTAGAACTACCATTTGATCCAGAAATCCCACTACTGAGTATCTACCGGAAGGAAAAAAAGACATTCTATAAAAAAGAAATCTGCACTTGAATATTTCTAGCAGCACAATTTACAATTGCAAAGATGTGGAAACAACCCAAATGCCTGTCAATATATGAGTAGATTAATGAAATGTGGTATACGTATACCATGAAGTACTACTCAGCCATTTAAAAAAAGGTGAACTACCTATTGTATTATCCTGGATGGAACTGGAGCCCATTCTTCTAAGTCAAGTATCACAAGAATGGAAAAACAAACACCACATATACTCACCATTAAATCTAATCTATCAGTACTAATGTGCACATATGGGAAGTAACATTCATAGGGTGTCAGGCAGGTGGGGGGAAGAGGGGTTGGGTAAATTCATATCTAAGGATGCAGTGCACATTTTCTGGGGGATGGGCATGCTTGTAACTCTGACTTGGGTGGTGCAGATGTGATTTATGTAACCAAAGCATTTGTAACCCTGTAATACTCAGAAATAAAATAAATAAATACAAAAAAATCTATTTTTAAAAGCCTCACTTTTAACAGCCCTATTTGTTTGGAAATATTTCCTAAACAATTCCAACAACAGCAACCCTATCCAGGGGAGGTGGCTCTATACTGTCAATTTAGCTATGCCCAAACCACATTTCCCATAAGTCCTTGGGTGATTCTGTGTTAGGGTTGGCTACAAGAGAAATTTTTGCAAGTCTGAGGATGTAAAAGAAGCATGAGACACTTCATTTTGAAAGTTCTCATAATGCTCTGTGCATCACTAGAGTTTACCTAGGTGGCCAATATATTGATTTGCTCTTTAGGTCTATAGCTACTCTAGATCCCCCAAACTCTCCTGCATCAGTTTCTCCAGTCATGGGTCAGGCACCTGTGCAGCCCAGTGGGGACAGGTGCTAGCAACTTCTGTCAGAACCAGCATCGTTAAGGTTGGATCCAGTTAAAGACGTAAACATATAGTCCAAATGAGTTATTTATTGTATGTAAGTTCAGGATTCAGTTCGTCCTTCTCAGTTCTACTTTGTCTTTACTTTCCTGCATCTTCAGGTCAAACACTTTTCTGCTTGTCAAATGTACTACCTACAGTAATTTTAGATTTACCATCAGACACAGTAATGCAAGTTTTTTTAATTCTTCAACAGCTTCCACATTTTTATAATTTATTTCCTATAGTAAACCCACTCTTTCATATTACTCCCACTGACATATTTCCCTGGTCAAACTCTAATCAGTATATCACGCAAGCCAGTTAAATCAGGGTTTAGTATCCTTTTTTTACATATGTTCAGGGCTTATTTGTGGTGCTTTCCTAGTCTTTGCATATTGCATTTTCCATGTTTCTCTCAGAACATCTTTCTTTATCCTTAAGCACATCTAGCAGAAATGTAAGAAATAGCTACTGGTTGAGTACATAAATATGGGGGAGAATGCATGAATTGTAAGTATCTCTCATGAATTGTAACATCAAATCTCAAGTGTCCTGGAGTATATGTTACTTAAGAATAAAGTACTGGGGGGGAGGATCAAGATGGCGGACGAGAAACACCGCCAGACAGAGTGTCTCTGCAGAAAACACAGATTCTAGCAGAAATTAGAAAAAAGAAGCAAGAAGACGAGCATACAGTGCACGAGGGCCAGAAGGAGGGGTACCTGAGATCCCGGGAGACTCTACGGGAGAAGGCTGCGAAGGAGAACTGGAAGCTGAGACCGCTGGAGCAGCCCAGAGACCAGCAGAAAGGGTAGGTGCCGTTTCCCCTCCCCTGCATTTGGGACTGCTGGTGGGCTCCCCAGTGGGTGGAGAGACCTTCGGACACCAGCCCAGAGACGGCCACTGCCAGCTAGCAGTGAGCCTGTAG